ACGCAGCCGAGTACATCGATGACGCCAGCGAGAGACAGAAACGGATGGAAGCAATGCTGGGGTTTGCACGCCGAGTGAGCCATTTAAGTATCTAAGCAAGTATCTAAGATCATTAACAATGATGAAGCTCTATAAAGAATAGAGCAATTTGGAAAAGTTCACCGGTCAGAAAGGAAAACAAGAGGAACGAACGCAAAGAAACAAGCTCTTGTGAGCAGGGCTCATAATAGTCAGAGTTACAGTGTCTGGCATGCCATATCATACTCTCAAAGGAAAAAACTACAATTAAAGTATTTGCTAATAAAATTTTCAATAAGACAGCAAATTGTATACAGCTTTCAATTAGACTTAAAATTTGAAAGAGGCTTCCACAAATGATGAATGTGCATTTGGAGCTGATATGATGCAACTGGATAATGATTTCCGAAGTTTTTAAAATGGTTCAAGACATTCACATAGGTTTTTTTCCAGCAACAAAAGAGAAATTGTCGAAAACAACTAGTGTGGCGAATTGGTGTCAGTCAAATTCACTTTACGAGACACTTTCAGTTTTAATTTACGGTTGTTTCTCCTAAACACCTAGTAACCTTGAAAGATATTACGCATTGTTCTTTGTTGCAGAAGTTACTAATAACTCTCTAATGATTTCTGCTTAAGCGCTTATGTACCAATCGTCAATGGATATAGTGTTATCGAATTGCAAACTAGTTTCACCTACAGACACCATTATATTTCGGAAAAGTGGTCCAGAGTGCAAATCATTTTAAGCAAATGAATTGTGCGTCAACGACCGAACAGATAGTTTAAACGAGATGAGGTTTACATAAAGAAACAATGGGTAAACTGTCGTACGGGGATAAAATAAAGGAAATGTCAGTGAGCAATATACAGATTCCTAGTACTATTTGTTTCAATTCTGTCCACTTGCCCTTTTCAAATTCTCCATGATCAGCTGTTTTACTATTTGACACAAACATTCAGTGTTAGGTATAAGTTTCCTACCACTTGAGAAAAACCAACAATTAACGATTCAAAAAATTCTCAATGAAAAATGAAGAGCCAAATTCATAGTAATAGTAGCAACGCAACATCACGGTAAAGGAGTTGCTTGTCCGAGTGCTTATCCAGGCGTTCCTCCTTGACATGCTAACCCAGTGATAGCTGCGTACCCATTGGGCAAAAACCAGTTGTTATTTGGAGGAGCGGGGCAAATCGCATATTGATCAGCTAAATTTTAATGTTGCGAAGTATGGAGTTTATAAGGATGTTGAGTAAAAACCTGGATAAGCTATTCCCTCAGGGTTGAGGGTTGTGTAATAGTATGCTGTGGTGCCGGGAGGGCAGGCCCAAGTTTGCCTAAAAGTTTTCGAGAAGTAGATGTATAATCTGATAAGATAATGCAGCTCATTCTGACTGCTTATTCGATACTTTTCTAGATA